ATTTGTGGAAAACTGTAAAAATGAGACACTTACATTATTTTTTGGCTAATTCCGAGCTCAATTCGGGTCCCTAAGGACTAAAATGGCCCCTTAAAACCTTAAACGAAGATTTTTTGATATGTTAACCGATGAAAAAGTTAATTTGGGTTGCATTTTGCAAAAAAAAATAAAAATAAATAAATAAATGGGTGCAATTTGCAAAATACGAACTTTAAATGACTGCAATTTGCAAATTTAAAACGGACACGACAACTAATTTTATAGTACATATCAATTAATATAATATACTTCCTCCGTTCTATTAATATTTCAACAATGGACTTTTTGAACTATTCATCACTCTTGTTTGACCATATAATGATTTATACATTAAGTAAGATATAATAATGTGGAATTCTGATGGATTCGTCTCATAAATATTTTCACAATATCAACTTTTATAATTTTTACTCTTCACAATTATAGATATTTAGTACGTAGTATATAAAATATACTTTGAGATGCTTAAGGGTCTGTTCTCTTACGTTGAAATTCAGCTCAGTTCAGTTCAGCTCCTAATTTCCTTCTCTTATAAAATATTCATTTCAGTTCAGCTCAGTTCAGTTCAGCTCGGTTCAGTTCAGTTCAGTTCAGCTCAATTCAATTCACTTCAGTTCAGCTGAGTTCAGTAAATGAGAACAGGGTTTCATCCTTGTTGCAATATTAACAGAACGGAGAAAGTACTAAAGTAATTACTACATTATTCCCAAAAGTATGTACTTGTGTCGTGTCCACAACAAAACTATCTCGCCAAAATATTCAAAAAAAAATCATATTATATTGTCAAACAACAGTGATGCATATATAGTGCAAAAGTCCAAATAGTTGTAAAAATATTAAAGCGAAGGAAGTATGTTATAGTTGAATTTTATATATGTTATTTTTAATACTAATTTTTTTCTTATACAAACTAGAATCAGTGTAATAACTGTGCATGGTACATGACCTAATCCAGTATTATTATTTTTTTACTTAACTTGTTAATCTACAGCCTCAATTTATTATTTTGCCAATAGGCCACCAAAATCTTAGGAACGGGCCTATGACATATATATGAGGTAAATATAACATGTTTTATTAAAGTTAACACGAGTATGTTTTAAAATGTTCACCAAAAAAATGAGTATGCTCTATTGTAGAGGTGTTAAAAACTACATTCGACCCGACCCGATCAAAAACTAATTTGAAAAACATCTGATTTAAATTTGGAGTTGCGTAGACACAATAATTTAGCATGACTTTAAAATTTGACCAAATCCGACCATACTAAACACAATCTGAATATCCGAATTGACACTTCCGTGCTCTAGTATCAAAACACACACACAGGGAAAAAAAAAAGAAAAAAAAAAGGAAAAAAAAAAAGATTAATAAACACGTGAGCGCATATTTATAATTCAAGCTTAGGCGCAACTTGAGAGTTTAAGTTCGCTGTCCCCGCCCAAAATCACTTTCGATGAGAACGAAGTCCGTGAACTTGAAGTGGACTTGTTAGGGCTATTCGAATTGGGTTACACCTACATGGCCCATTAAAATACACAATTATTTAGTAATACACAACAGTAAATCAAAACACGCTCTTAGGGCCAGTTCTCATTGACTGAACTCAGCTGAACTGAACTAAACTGAATTGAAATAAATTTTTTTATAAGAGAAGGAAATTAGGAGCTAAACTGAGCTGAGTTGAACTGAACCGAACTGAATTTCAACGTATGAGAACAGACCCTTAGTACCCATGCAAATATGCAATATTGCAATGCATGAATGCTACTTTACTATGCATTTAAGATTGAATTTATACATTAACGGACGTGATTAGAGAAATGTGTTAATTAATTTGAAATGGAAGAAATATTACTCTCTAACTTATTTTTCGTACAATTATTATTTGGATATAGTTCCAATTAAATTCTAGAGCATGATATTGAATTAGTGATTACTTGATGGCCAAAAAGTTTTAATTTCAAAAGATTGAGAACTCATATCGATACATGATGAGACATGTGCACGTATTATAATTTGATTGACATATTCCGACTATAGAACCGCCTTGACATATTCCTAACCCTTTATCTCATTGATTGATTTAAGAATGCATCAAATTTCTTTTAATACTATCTCCGTTAATGGTTATCTGTAACTACGGGTATTGTTTGTAAGATATAAAAAATTTCAAAGTTACTGATAATCGTTAACGGAGGTAGTATTAAATAATTAGAGCTATTAAAAGTTAAATATTTATGCATTAACAGAGTTATAAGTAATATGGAGTAGGAAAAACTTTTGAATAAAGAGGGATTAGGTCTTAGTCTCTTGGCCAGTAAAGTAGTAATCATAGTATAGAAGGGATCCATGGAGAGGCCCACCTAATGAAGTTGAAAGGAAACATTGAATCTTGGAGGTGTTTTGTCCTTTCAACATCTCTCCTCTCGTTTTGTGTCTTTCATTCATATGAAAGTTAATTAGTTTGTTGAACGTGATATGTTTGATTATTGCTTTGACCAATGTACAATAGAAACATCTTAGAGCCTGTTTTGATTGATTCAACTGAGTTGAACTGAAATGAAATGATCTTATTAGAGCTAAACTTAGCTAAACTGAATATTTTATAAAAGAAGGAAATTAAGATAAAAACTGAACTATGCTGAACTGAACTGAACTTATTAAATCTGAATTGAACTAAAGTGAAAATAAGCTGAAGAGAACAGACCCTTAATCTTGTTTGATTTCATTGTTAGGATTCAATTTGATTTTCAGTTTTTTATATACTCTTTTTGTACAATTTCTTTTCATTTTTCTTTTGCACAATGTTAATGTAATTTTTTATGCTTATGATTGATATGAAGCAAACAACATATTATAAGTTACAGAGTTTTTTTTTTTTTTTTTTTTTTTTTTTTTTTTTTTTTTTTTTTCTAAAGTATATATATATTGAATTAATATTATACAATATTTTTATTTGAATTGGAATCTATAAAAAAATATAATTATCTGTTCTAGTTTATAAGTATATTATAAATTATTTACTACATATTTTTATTAATTTTAAAAACGAAAATGATACATATAAGTAATACAACCCTAAAGGTTGCATACAAAAATTTGAAAGTGTAAATATTTAGTGAAATTAAACATTAATTACACTAATCGATACATGATTTAGGCTAGTAATTGGCGGTTGTTATTAGCTTTTAGTTTGAGTGACTGTTTGCATTGATTGTTTCTACTGGTTGTTTGATTATTGTTTGATTTTAAATAAGATTGGTAAAATTTGTTATTAGTTGCTGACTATAGGTATACAAAAAGTAGAGCTATAGAGGCGATCAAATGGCAGGTTGGGGTGGTTCCAGGGTAAAAAAATTCAACTCACTTGGTCAAGCCGGTAGCACCTAGGTTCGAGTAAAAAATACTTGCCCAAAACCCGCAAAATTGGATCAAGCTTAGCAGTTTTTTTTAGCTAGGCTAAATAAAATAAAAGGCTTAAAAATGCATGTCCAAGGCCTGTGGGGATTTTTTTTTTTTTTTTTTTTTTGAAAAAAAAGGGTCGAGTTGGGCCTGACCAGACATTAGGTAAAAAATTCCTACCAACCAAAATTGGGCCAGGCTTAATATGATCCTCTCTACCAAAAATACTTTTAAAGACATGTTATTTACACACACATATATATATATATATATATATATATATATATATATATATATATATATATATATATAAAGAAGTAATTAACATTTAACTAATACGAGTAAACGAGTAATAATTACTAATTACTCATTCTGATCTATGTTCCATATTTTTCCACCATGAGCTCTTTTTTTTTTTTTTAAATTTTTACGAATGAAATTTTTCCTCAAGCAAATTATCTTGCCTAAGCTAGTTTTATTTTTTAGAATCAATGGTCAAGTTAGTAGCTAGGGTCTTTTACAAAATGGCAAACTAGTCCTTAGCTACAACTATTAGAGTTACTATTACATGAGTACTAATTACTTTTATGTTTTTAGGGACGAGTACTAAGTACTTGTAAGAACATAACAATTTTATTTTTAATTTCTTTTTTAAGCTGTAGGATCTAATCTCTGATTCAGCGTTGACCTACATGACATATGTCACTTGATCACCAACTTTGTATCAATTAAATTAATCACTATGTTTGGATAACCACAGTGAAGAGAAAGCTAAGGGAGGGGAAGGAAAAAAAGAGAAGGGAAAGGGAGGTGAGGGGAGGGAGAAGAAGACCTCCGTTTTCCTTTCAAATCTCTTTAACAATGGAGGGATTTGATTTATTAAAAGTGGAAGGAAAATGGATCCATCCTTTTCCCTCCTTACATTAGATTTTCAAACAAGGGAGGATGCACCCCTCCATTTCTCTCTATCAAACATAGTGTAAAAGTTACGCTTGAGACCCAAAAGCTACTCTTAGTAGCTTTTCAATTCAGGCAAAACTTATTTTGGTTGTTTGACCATATCCAAATGTAATATATTTTTTTTTGTTTTAACAATTGCTTTAATAAGAACTTCATCAGTTAGCTTTGATTTGGTTTGAAGTCCACTGATGCGTAATAGTTTGAGTAAAAATACTCATGTGGTCCTTTGAATTTTTATGGAGCCCTAATGTAATATAGTTTGCCTGTTTGTGTTAAAAAATTTTGGTTGTTTGACCAACTCATCAAAAAGTCAAAGCTAATGAAAAGCTTGGCTAGCTAAATGCCAAACATCCCATTTATCACGCAGTTCTAAATCAATATAGAGTCATAGACTACCAATGTAGGAAATGCATCAATTGTTTATAAGTAGCTAGTACTAACTGTATATATTTCATAATCCTTTATAAAAATATTTCACTAAAAAACTTTATTTATTTATTTTTTTTTTTTCATTTTTATCTTTGAAAACAATATTTGGAAATATAATGAACAAGACTTATATTTTCTACTTGTTCAACAATCTTACACTCAGCTCGTCCCAAATTGTTTACTAATTTTCGAGATTACTAAATGTACAGATGTAAATCCTATGTCCAAAGTATATATCAAATGCGGCTAATACGGAATAATACATTTGCCTTGAAATTTAGACATGCCAGACGTTTATACAATCTTGCTCCTTCCTTAAGACCGCCTTTTGTCCCGCTAACTACACCTTCAACCTAAGCATTGACACACTAATTATCGACTACTTAACCAAAAGACGAATAACTAAACAAACAAACGACGATTATGCATCCAATTAGTGAAGCTGAGTGAAAATAATGTTGTATTAAGACCTCAAAACATAGCTTGGTAGATACAAACTTATTAACTTATTGTACATAATAACAGCTTTCTTTCACTGTTGATCACGAAGTTTGAGTTCTTGTAAAAAACATAGATATCATTCTATCATGTTCTCCTTCATTGCCACTTCAATTCTTAGCCAACGCCGAAAAGGAATACATATTTAAGGACACAGTTGGTCTGTCATCCAGTTACCATTTTGCTGTATTATTCGCATTAGAGGCCAGAATATGTCCAATTTGTTAAACCCCTTTGAAGCCTGTAACCAATATACCGCGATTGTTTAGTAAGAAAAGATTGTAAGTAATTGATGCATAATATAACAACTATAAAGTAACGTATAGTACTTCAACTATGAAGCTTGCCCATTTGTTACGACGATTTTCCATAGCCCCTTTCAAGATGGTCAGTTTTAATTTGTGCATTACTTCTGCTATCTCAAAGAAGGCTCCTTCATCATTGCAGATCATCTGTTCAACAAGTTATATAGAAAACCCAATTTAGTTTAGTTAATTTCTAATTCATACCAGTTTTTTTGGATGATTCGAAGTTCAGTAAAAGGATAATAACAAGCATATACCTGTATCTGAAACTGACTAGGATGTTCCAAATCTTTTACAATAATAGGGCATGCTTTGAAGTCATTTCCACCTTCTAAAGAAACATTATCCTGCAGAAAGTTGAAAAATGTCATTATATTGTTGGAAATTTTATGTTCTTTGAAGGATACAGGGCCAAGAGAAGAAGCTTATATTTGCGAAATCAGCAGGATAGCAGCCTCAGCAGGTAGTTTTTTTAGCCTTGGATCAAGCATCACTCCTCCGGCCTCTTCACATCCGATTCCAAATTAAAATTCCACTTGTCACGAGCAATCGTTGCTTTGAAGGATAACAAAACTTGCTAATTGTAACACATGTGAGTATATGGTAGTTTCTGTACCCTGCTCAAAGTGTTACAGTAGTTTCGAAGATACATACAAATAGGATTTTCTTGAAATCAAAAGGCATGTATAGTAGTAGACTAGTAGTAGTAGTTTTAAGAGTTCATGTACCTCTTGACTTATGAATTGTTTCATTTTCTCTGCTCGTTCTGTCACGCTTTTTAAGAACATCATATGCTTTGCAGTTTGGTCTAGCAGTCCATCAATGCTACTCTGAAGCAAAAAAACTATGGTGAATTTTACAGGACAAATTAGAAAAAAGTAGTAAGTTATTTTACTAGAGCTACTGACATTTGTACCATCTGGGACTAATTTGCGCAACACCTTGAGTCGATCTTGAATAAGTTGTCTATCTCTTGGCCTCGGTCTATCATTACTCTTTGGTTTCTCCTTCTTGCCCCTGCTGTGTTTGGGCTTCTTGAGATTCTTATCGTCAAGCAACTTAGAAGCACGTTCGAGTTGTTGCTTATCTGCAACTGCTGCACTTTCTAAGCTCTCCAATGAGGGGGCTGAAGTCATACCAAACATGGTTTGGTTGTCTGACATAGTGTTGCACTCTTCTGGTACTGAGATGGTATCAGGAGTCGTCTCTGCCAATGAGGTTACAGATGATTTACTAGTTTCACAGCGATTAAAACTAGTACTGTCATAGGAATTATTAACTGAAGTAGCAACCACATCTGCCAACAGATGTTCTTGTTTACCACGTTCATCAACTAGTCCACACGATTCCACTGCTGAAAAACAAAATCCTTCCTGAGAGTACACATTTTCCTTGTTTGTGCATTCTGAGTGCCTATAATCGTACTCATCATACATTATAAAATCTGGCTGAAGAATCGCTGCTTGTAGTTCACAGTCTCTAGGAAAAACGCTGAGATTTCTGCTGCTACTGAGGCCTACTCCGGATTCTACTGTCAGAGAAAATTCTAATTCTCTGAGAACGGAATCAGAACATCTCTGAACACATGTTTTTGCTGAGACTCTAGCATCATCAAATTCTTCTTCATGTCTAGGAAACATCCACATTTCTGCTGCCTCTTCTGGTAGCACACAATCTCTTAGGAAATTGTCGAGATTTCTGCAGTCAGTATGATCTACTCTGAATCCAACTGCAGACGGACATCTCACTTGTTTGTGGACAGAATCAGAACATATTCCACCAGACAAGTCTTCAGATACTCTAGCATCATTAAAATCTTCTTCATGGCAAGAAAACATCCACATTGTTGTTGCATATGGTGTATCAGTGCTAAGAAGTTCGCTTGTAATTGGTTCAATATTGGTATTCAAGTATGGATAAATCATGTTCTGATCATCAATAATACAGGAAATTTCCTCAAGCTCGAGAAAATTATCCTCCATTAAAGGAACAAGTTGATCATAAGTGGCTGGGAAATCGTTTTCTATGAATTCTGCATCATGAATTATATTAATATCCTCATATTCCATACTTTGCAGGTTGTTGTAAGTGAAAGATGATTCATCGTTGTTTTCTGGTTCAGCCATCAGAATCGACGAACAAAGAAGAAGATCATCAGCATAACTAGGCAACGCGATGTTTGTCATGTAGGTATGAGTGAAGAATCTATCTCTAATATCAGCACATACGGCTAGATTTTCATCAACCTAATCAGTTATTAGAAACAAAAGGTATAAGCTTCATACTTTCGTACAAGTGATTGGTGAACAAGGATACTAAAATCTAAATTACAAAAAACAAGTTTGAATCAAAATCTTCCAATGAAACATCATAAATCTACCAATGAGATGCCAAACTTCATACAAGTAGCAGAGAAAGCAGCATGAGAAGTAATCTCCAGGTTGTTTTAGAATTAGTATCTAGACGAAACATGACCATTAGTCAAGTAAGCTAAGCCGATTATCTAATAACCTAAATATAGCCTTATAGGAGGTTGAGACGATGTGACAAGTAAATATGGGCTTAAAAAGGATATTACTTTGTGTATTTTTTTTGTTCATCTAGAGGTTTGTGTTGTTCGATCGGTTTCAAACACAAGTTACATGTGAAGAATGTGAACTGTAATTGAATTGCATAGCATCCCATAAAAGCCCATTTGTTTTTCAACACATGCAAAAGTACTAAAGTGATTCATATATGTATACATGCATAGTCGTATAGATACATAAGCACTATTTATTCTTCAACATATGCATTTGTACCTTTATTTAACTTATAATAGGAGCAATATTGTCCCAATACTATATACCTAATGCGAATATTTTTGAATATTAACAAGGTTATTGATCAGTCACCTTTTCAAATGAGCCCAATTGCAAAACTCCATATGGTAACAAAGGTGCTAGTAAAGTTGTCTGCACAAAAATAAGCAAACAAGTGAGCAAAATGTCTCCTAGATAATTGATGCACCTTGGCAAGCAGGTTGTTAGTGTTGGCTCAAATTAGTTCAGGTCATATAGAATTGATGGGTGCCCCTCATTTGCACCAAAAAAAAAAAAAAAAAAAAAAAAATTGATGAGTCTTGCCACGGGATGAATTCAGTTTAGTTCATGTCATATAAAATAGACGGGTCGTGCACTCGTGCAATGAGTATTCAAAATTTTCATTATTAGTTATTGTTGAGATTTAATTTGATATATTAGTAAAATGCTAAAATGAAATCAAATTTGTGTTAATTTTAACTTGAGTCAAAATCAGATTAACACGTTTAATTCAAGCACAATTGAATGTGAGCTTGATAATTACTCGTATACTCTAATGTGAGATGGATATTATAACATCATTTTTGTATGATGGAATCAACTCACCTTTATTCCTGCTGCAATGGAAGAAGCCAATCATCAGAGTACTGCTTTAAAAAAAAAAAAAAAAAAAAAAAAAAAAAAAAAAAAAAAAAAAAAAGCATTAGTTTAGGAAAATTAAATTTATGATGCAACTTAAAACATAAGGTCAAACTCACCCCGGCCCTAAGTTGGAATTGAGCTGAATTGATTGAATGTCATCTGAATAGATCCAGAAATCACTCTCTGCGAATGCCACTCTTCCCACCATCCTGATTAATATAAGATTCAAGCAAATTACAATTATTGTCAAGCACGCCATTTTTTTTTTTTTTTTTTTTTTGACGGAGCCAATTTGTAGTTATAACTACATCAATTAAAATAAAGTCTTCACGGCGTTGATTGGTACGTGAGATTGGGAGTTATGGAATTAGAGAATATATGTCTTTGATAGTGTTGTGTTATAATTTGTGATTGGAAACTTAAATTATTGTGTTACTAGTAGGGGTGTCAATTCGGTTAAACAGTTCGGGTTTGTGTTGGGTTTATCAGTTTCGGGTTATAACGGGTCGGTTTATAACGGATTGAAATAATAAGCGGGTCGGTTTTGAAAATTATCGGGTCAGTTCGGTTTGGTTTTTTTAATTGCAGTTTCTATTCGGATCGGGTCCTTATCAGGTCGGGTTCTAGTCGGTTCGGGTCATAATCAATTTGGTTGAACTGGGTCGGTTTGAAAACGGGTTTAGCCCATTTAATGTGGGTTTCGGTTAAAAACAGTTCGGGTCTTAATCAGGATGGGTCGTAATTGGTTCGGGTCATAATCAGTTTGGGTTTAACTAGGTCGGTTCGAAAATGGGTTTCGGTTCAAAATAGATCGGGTGAAATCGGGTCCAACCATTATTGTTTCGGTTATAATCGGTTTAGATTGAACTTGGTTGGTTTGAAAACGAGTTTACCCAATTTGAAACGGGTTTCTAATCAAAATCATATCGGGTTAAAATTGAGTCGGATGATTATCGAGTCGAATTAGTCAGATAATGGGTAGGAACGAGTCATGTTATAATCAAGTCAAGTCATAAATAAGTTGGGTTTATCGAGTAGTGGGTTGAAACAGATTAGATCATAAACATATTGGGTAACAGGTTGTAAATGACTCAATCATAACGGGTTACGGGTTTTAAACGGTTTGGTCATAACGGGCTACGGGTCGTAAACGGTTCGGTCACAACGGGTTACGGATTATAACCGGTTCGGTCACAACGGGTTACGGGTTGGAACGATTTAGGTTTATCGGATTTTTATCGGGTTTTAACGGTTTTCGGTTTAAAACGGGTCGGGTTACTATCGGGTTTAAACGTAATCGGTTTGGGTTGCTTTCAGTTTCGGATTGTAACGGTTTGGCTTGATAACGGGTCGGGTTAGTAACGGTTTGCACAAATTCGGTTTAGTTCAGTAACGGTTTGGAAAAAATTGGGTCGGGTCAGTTTTCGGTTTCCAAAAAAACGGGTTTTAAACAGTTCAGTTCCTTTTCGGATCGGTTCGAAACAGTCGAGTTTAACGGTTTGGGTCAGAAACTGACAGCTCTAGTTACTAGCTAATAGTTATTCATCATATCCTTGTTCAATATGCTTGTGACATAATGGAAAAAATATTTTAACACCATTAACGAAAATCTGTCTCAAAAGATAATTTTATGTAGATGTTTTTGTTGCGAAGGTCTTTTTTATAAAAAAAAAAAAAAAAAAAAAAAAGGTGGGTCCTTTTTATCATATTTGGGCTGTGGACGTGTGGTGTTTTGACCAGATTTTAGCCATTTGACTTTTTTCTGCCCAAAAAAAATAAAAAAATCACGTGCACATGACCACTTAAAATTCGTTTTATTTTATTTTGACTTTTACCACATGCAATAAACGAAAAATTTGCTTTTACCATCTCTATAAAAAAAAAAGTTTTATTTTACCACCATATATAAAAAAATAAAAGTTAGCTTTTAACACTTATCACGGCCAACTAACGGATTCCGTCTATATCCGTTAGTGGTGCCTAACATGTCCACGAGTCACCATAAAACCCAATAATATGGTAACTCGTGGACATGATAGGCCCTACTAACGGATTTATAGACATAATCCGTTAGTTGGCCCGGATTGGTGGTAAATGCCAATTTTCATTTTTTTTTATGTGCTGGTAAAATAAAACTTTTTTTTAATTTTTATAGAGGTGGTAAAAGCAAATAAGTGGTGTTTTGGAGGTGGTAAAAATCAAAATTTCATTTTTAATTAGCAATTAACTACAAACCTCACTTTTAAGTTGAGTAATCACTAAAGTTGTTGCTTGGCTAACTCTATATATATATAGTCTAGTTGAATAGTTGATCTCCATATTCAAACGAACAAACACCCCATCATAATAATCATAAATTCATAATTATTCCATTCTTCCGAAATAAATCAAATAGTGTAAGAGAGATCATACCCCTCTCCTAGCAAATATTGACAACATGACATATCAGCAACTGCAAATTCAATAGGATATCCTACTCCCAAGGATTGTACACCATCACAAATGTTTATTGCTTCATATCCAAAACTTTGTATGTCTTCTTGACTTGATGAGTTATTAGGATTGCTTGATAGACATGGTTGCTGTAACGACCTATCGGAGTCGCAATACACATCTTCACAGGTCAATACCCTATTGAAAATAATCAAGTTTTAGAGTATACATGGTGAACAACTATGTTTATATCCAACAATCATTACAACCTATCAAACATTTAGCAAAGACTATTCCATATATTCAATCCGATACGTGTATAGTGTTAACGTCTATTGACCTTTCTAAAGGTCTCAACAATTCTACATACTACATCCGTTGTAATTTTTGAAAATTTTATATCTCACAAATAATACCCAAAACTTGCATGTGTAACAATATATAGCATATGTAACAATGCTACTTTATATCCCTTGTAAAATCATCAAATTTCCATTATATAGCAGAGTACATATTAAATTTTTGAGAAAATGACAACTTTTTTAGAACATCAAGTGATTAATTAGAGGTGGGGATTATATAATAATATTATATGACCAAAAACGAAAGAATATCTTACTTGTAGTTTTCTACTTGTTGAAGCTTCCAAAACACAGCATAGCTCCATTGAGAACTAATGCAGAGATTTTTAAGCAATTGCCTTAAGGCAACAGTTTCCATCAGCCAAGATTAGTCGTATTATAAAAGTTATGATTTCTTAAAACAAAATTGAACTGACCAATATATTGCAACACTTTCTAAGTTATATAATCTTCGTTAGCTACCACTGTATGAAGCTCCTCCGGCTTGTCGAACTCGAAAACTTGCCCTTCTTTTTAGCAATGGCCACATCCAAGAAGCAACCAGCACATTGCTAAGTTTAACTCACTTTTTTCATCAAGCAATTTGCCATTTAATTTGTTGTTCATAAAAACTTTGTGTTATACGTACCACATGTAACAATCTTCACTCGCAAAATGATCTGCGCAAACAAGATCGTGACAACAATTAGCACCTAAAGGCAATTTTCCATGTACGTTCAGTTGTAAGAATTGTAAATTGTACATTGTACATTCAAGATTATTAATAAATAATTGAAAATCCTCGCATCTAAAAGGACATTATGCATGAATTGAAGAATAAGTACGTAACATGATAGTAATTTGTGTAGAACTATCCGGAAGATAGGGTGTTTTGTGAAAAACTACCCATTTTTTTAAAAATTGTTTACAACTACCCGAAGATTGAAAACGTTTGGTTAGCACTACCCAATAACGTTTTCCGTCCATTTTACACGTTAGTGGGGCCCACTTTTAACCTTTCCCACCCAATTTACTCCCCCCAACTACCTTTTCTTTCTCCTCTTCAATTCCTTCTTAATTTTCCCCCCCTTCTCACTGAAAAATTTAGATTCAAGAATTCAAGCAAGTGAACACAAATTTAGGTAATCTTTCACAATTTTGTACTAATTAATTGTTTTTCGCATTTGTTTACAAGTTTTAGAAGAATGCAATTTAAAGAATTAGGCTTTAAATTTCTGATTCAAATTAGGGTTTATGAGTTCAATCAAATTTGGGGGTTTTTATTTTTAGGGTTTAGGAATTCAATTGAGTCTTTGATTTGGGTTATTTTGGGTTACAGATTGAGTTGTGAAGCATTTTTAAGTACTTTATATTACTAATTGACATGGTAATTGGTAGGATGTCGAGTTCATTATACCACTTCTCTATGCAATATCATCCAAACAAGTGCAATTGTGGCATTCCACCAAAATTGGAGACGTCGTCGTGGACTACAAAAAACTCTGTGAGAAGATTTTTGGCTTATAAATTCTATGATGCTGCATTTGGTAGAAGAGGATGCAAAATTTTCAAATTGATTTTACCGGAAGTCTTGGGAGAATTTGAAGGTCAATTGAGGAGAGTAAAAGAAGAGAATGAAGGAAGAGGTGGAGTAATAATGGAGGGAAATAAAAGAGGAGAGAGAAAAGGTAGGTGGGGGAGTAAATTGGTGGGAAAGGTTAAAAGTGGGCCCCACTAACGTGTAAAATGGACAGAAAACGTTATTATTGGGTAGTGATATCCAAACGTTTTCCATCTTCCAGGTAGTTGTAAACATATATAAAAAAAAAATGGGTAGTTCTTTACAAAACACCATATCTTCCGGGTAGTTTTACACAAATTTTCCTTTTATTATTAGTCATGTTTATCAGTGTACAAATTCAATCATTGATATATGTAATTACAGAGAATCAAAAAAATTATGAAAAGATGATATTTTAAAAATATATATCTTGGTGAATCTAACAAGATCCCACATAAATATATGTCTATATCTTTCATTATGTATAAAACACTAAATATGATCTAAGAAAAGTCTGTGAATAGTGCTAAAGTTAACAATAATCTATTAACTAAAAAAACAGGGGTAGTATATTGTGTGTAATTTTTTTTTTTTTAGGAAAAGTATATTGTATGTAATTATTATGTCATCATGTCATTTACTCCCTAGCCGGGTGAAAAAGAGGGATAGAGAAAGAAGTTTAATATGTGGTGAGTTAATTTTATCATCTTACATCAACAATTTCATCTTCAATTCTAATACATAGTAAAAATAATAAAAACTACATTCATCAACAATTGCATTATTACTAATTATTATAGGTTGAAGTAATGCAAGTAAATATTAAAATTACATTCAGATCTCACACACAATGATCATGATCCAGCTTATTTTTTATTGTAAATGTCTTATTACTTTTGCCTAAGGTTGAAGTTTGCAAAAATTTTCATCAATCTTTGACTTTGATTTTAATACATCAAAATATTACAAGTATATACTTATTTGATTTAGATACAAAATCAACATTAATCTATCAATTTTTGTCATGAAACGCACACGATGTCTCTTACAACTTCTCCCTTAGCTTACATACATCAAGAACTTACCCTTTATTACAACAAATTAAACTACCTTTAAGCATAACTAATTAAGGCAAAGCGAGCTGAATAAAACTAGGAAGTACTCATCATCTACAAAGTTAAACATTATTGAAAATCTTAATTAAACATGCATAGTCTATATATGAAAGTAAAGTAAAAAAGAAAAATAAATAAATAAATAATTAACAACCAAAGACAGCATATATAGTTTCAAATATTCATATAGTACAACTTTAAGAAATATATTTAATGTTTATATGACGTAATATATGCAAATAACAAACGCTTAAACAAGGGATGGTCGAAAACAGAAATATTACCGGCTTGGAGAATCTAGATGTCTGAATATCAAAGACATGCATAAATGTTGTTAGTCAATAGCCCTTCATCTTCAATTTATTCCACAAAGATTTATATTCGATTACTAGAAATTAAAAAAGAAAAATATCGATCAATTTAGAGAGGGAAAATTAGAGATTAGAAGATGAATAAATTGATGAAATATATTTGGTGGATTTATAAAGAGAAATAATGTTTTTTGATTTACTAATAGAGGTATCTCGGTTGCAAGTCGCCGCTTATTTGTATTAATTTTTCTGTTTTGGGGTTTAATATAATTAATAATTTGGTGTGACGTAAAGTTGACAGATCTATTAAGGTTTTTTAATTTAGTGATGAGCTGTGGTACACTTAATTTGTCCACTTACTTTTTGTCCTTTGTTGAATTTGTATAATTAGAGTATTGTCTTTGGTTGATTTTGTAATAGAGTATTGTATTTTTCAATATGGAAGCTGAGAAGATATCAACCTACTACGGAGTACTATTTCATGTTTTATACTCCAAACTTAATGCTTGGCTCATTTGGTTATTCTTGTCTTAAATTATAATGTTATTGAGGAGATTTGAAGGTGAAGGATTCTATTCATTTACGTATTTTCCTTATTTTCTAGTGTTTTATGTAAAAATTGATGTTTGATTGATCGGAGTCTTGAATAGAAAAAAAAATAATAATAATAAAAAAAAAAACCCTATGTAAGCAATGTCTCGGTTTTAAACTAACATTAGACCAGCAAATTAGAATATATACTAGTTACATGTTAATATGCAATTTTGATATACTCCATATTATTAGATTGCAGCTAAAACACATACTTAAAAGCATAGACATTATTACTCGTATAAGGGTAAAATTATATGTAGCCCTTATGGCTAAAATAAACATTAAACATCTTCTTTTATTATTTTCAATGTGTGGTTCCTACAGGCGTTGGTACCTTGCATCGTACAGCCGTTTCGCGAAAAGAACATATTACACACATGTAAAGAACATACTGTTGTAATGAAAAGAACATACTATTAAAAAGTAATGAACACATATCTAAAGTAAAAAAGAACATATTTATATTAAAAAAGAGTGAAAAGAACATATGTTCATGTTCTTTAATTGTCAGTGTAATGTACTTTTATTTGTGATATAATGTTAATTACTTATTGTGAAATGTTCTTTGATTTTTTTTTTTGTTTAAATTATGGTGAATATACATAAATCATGTTCATTACATAATATTTTCATGTTCTTTATAAATATTAGGGATGTTCTTTAGATGTATAAAAAAACATAAAATTAGATGTTCTTTACAAAACAGTCATATGTTCTTTACAAAACAACTTTATGTTCTTTAAAAAACTGCTACATGTTCTTTTCGCGTTTTTTGCCTGGACCTTGCTAGGTACAGGCGACTATACCTTAAAATTAGAGTCTCCCACATATCACCACAGGTTGGTATAAGTGGGCAAACCCCATAACAAATTAAAAATTAGAAGGGAAGTATAAGAAAAGCTACACTTCCAAATTCCAAATTACTTTGTTGGAATTTGATAGCCGAGATATAAGTACAAATCTTATAATCTAACCAATTAATTAAGTAGGCAATTACTCCCTCAAATATAGTTCTTGTTTTTGTTTTGAGGCCTCTCCAAAAGTTGTTCCCATTTCTATATTTTCATTTTAGACACTATGAAAATAACAAATTACCTTCATATTTTTTTTTAATTCACTCAGCTACAATATTTTCTCTAAGCTATTTATACTACCCTTTACCCTTGAGCATATACTTTATACTTTATAGCTACAATTTTTTTTATGTTTATATTATTTAATTTGCGGTTCACTCATATATCTTATACATTCCTCTCTTTTTATGTACTTTCTCCTTCCAATTCCCAACTCTTAACTTGTGTTTGTGTCAAATGGAAATGATCTTTACTTGAGAACTGATGAAGTACTATTTGGTACGATTTCAAATAAAATGTTAGAATGAGACAAACATAAGAGAATAGAGAGAGTATAAACTTAAACTATCAAGTATGCGTAATGTCAACTTGATAATAATTTTTCCTTAGATCACTAATTCACCAGATACTGCTGAAATATTCTGTATTTATATATTAATTCACTAGAAACTGTCCAAACTGATACTGATCAGTAATTCAATTAATTCTGCTAGACAATATTATTATAACAAGTTTGACTAAGTTAACCAATCATGAAATCACTTAATTATTATATAATAGGGTATTATGTGTCACCAACCATGCACATAGCCAGAATCACTTAATTGTATCCGTTAATTGACCACTAACGAGATGTAGTATATACCGAATCTCTAAGAATATATAGGCACACATATAGCCTATGTCAAACAAGAATCTATAATAACGGAGTATCCAACAAATCTATCGAGAGGCAAATTACGCAATGGATTGGATTGTTAATGGGGCATTTAGTTTATGATAGTATGGATATTAATGTTTGTGATAATTCTAGTTTGTATTCTATTCTTTTGACTGACACATTAGAGATACCCTCGTGAGGAGGCTTCCTAATAATTTTTAATCTTACCAT